GTGACAATGTGACCTAGCTCTGCTTGATATTCTGGAAACCGCCGAAGCCGCTTGTCGTCGCGCGGTGCGGCGGGACCCAGGGACGTTCTCGGCACCGCCGCCGAACAGAACGGTACTGCACTGGCATCGCAGGGCCTGCCGCCTCAAGAGAGGAGGCGACAGTAGTAGAACATACTCTCGGCTGTCGGACCGTCAACACGCCGTTGCCACGCTTACTAGGCAGGTTTTGTGCGCATGGGACTTGTCGGCTTATCGTCTAGACTTTGGTCGTGAGATAGGCGTCCATGCCCAGTAGCAACGTGCGTTTGAATCATGTTTTTGGTCCACCATGCTCCCGCTCGGCTCCAGAGGCACCCCAGACCGACGGGGTACTTTATGTAACAATTACCGAATACCATTCTGTGCTTTCTGGATATAGTTTGCACAACGTTGTGGGCCTGCGCCCATAGTTGTAAACAATGCCTTTTTGACATGATGTCCTCTATGACCGCAACGTCTCGGCTTCGCACGGGTCGAAGCACCTCACTATCGTATCCCATGTCTGCGGTCAATTGCATATCTGATTAAACGTGAGCAATAACGCTTGAACTAGACACCTCGTAGCCAGTGCTTCATCTTGTCAACTCTGACACGAAGAACGCTCATGTAATTGGAAAGCAAGAATGGACAACATAACAAGCGTGCGCTACTCAGCACGTCAAGCGTCCTCTCGGTATCCTCGAGGTGGCCATACTACGCCGACGGCGACTACGGACCACCGTCCCCATACCATTCCACGTCGGTAAACCACTTCTCCGCCCTCTCTGGTTCCGGCCGCGACTCTGGTTCCGAGTCATCTTCCCCGCGCGCGTCCCAACCCTGCGCCCGACTGGACCCATCGCCCTCCACAGCATTCGCAACCTCGGATTCCGGAACCGCTCCATAGGCTGCGCCGGGCATGCGCGAGTCCCGGTGCACCGGCTCGCGCGGACCGAGCGGAGGTCCCAGTCTCCCGCGCGCGACCGCGAGCTGCAGCGAGTTGAGCGGGCCCCCGGCCGCCTGCGCGGCGAGCCCCGCGCCGCCAACGGGGGGCGACGACGGACCCAAGAGCGTCGCGCCCGCGTCGTCCGAGAGCATAGGCGGGCTCCCTGCGGGCGCGGGCGCGAGCGAGGCGCCCAGTCCCGTGTTAATCCCGATTCCGATCCCCATGCCACAGCCCGTCCGTGCGGGCGCAGGCAGACGTGTCCTCGCCGCCGCCGCCGCCGCCGCCGCCGCCTCGCTCTGGTACAGCACCCACGCGTGCCACATCTCCGGGGATGCGGGCGTGCGCACTTGAGGCGACGGGCGCTCGACGGGTGGGGAGCGGTGCGCGTTCTCGGCATTCGCGCGGGGCGCAGGGCGCGAGGCGTGGAAGCGGCCTGTGGGGGAGGGCCCGGGGAGGGGAGGGGAGGGAGAGGCGTTGGGGGCTGACCCGGCCCCGGGAACTGCGGCGCGGTGCGCGGCGCGGGGGACGCGCACGCTCGCGAAGGGCGTGAGGCGTGCGGTGTGGTGCACACTGCCGTGCGTCGCGCGGGTGGAGGACGGGCTCGCGCGCTCGTCCAGGCCGACGTCAGGGGAGAAGCCGGGGACCGAGATCGTGATGGAGAGCGAGCAATGCGGGGAGGAGATCGAGGACGTGACGAGGGCACGCGCGGGGGTGCTCGAGCGCGCGGTGACTGTGCAGCAGGGGCAGCCGCACGGGACGCTCGGGTCCGCACCGCGCACGCACGTTGTGCTCCGCGCGCGCGGGCGGAGGCGAGTTCCAACGGCGAGGGGCTGTGGGGACGTGACGATGGGCGAGTCGGCGGAGGAGGCGAAGGTGGATGGGTGGAAGGAGTGCCAGGAGTAGTCACGGGAGGGAGCGAAGCTGATCGCCGTATTACTACAATCCGCCGCGAGCTGGTTGATCCCGTGGTCTACCGCGCGTGTCTTGCGGCGCGTGTGCCAGCGGCAGAGGAGGACGAACGTGGCGAGGAGCGACACGCCGACGAGGATCGCGCAGGCAGATGCGGCGTAGAGGAGGACGGAGGGGCCGTGAGGCATCTTGAATGGCGGAAGAGCGACAGAACTTGATAGAGAAGGCGGATGGCTGGCGCAAAGCAGCAAGCAGGGCTACTCCAATGCTCGAGAAGACCGGCGGCTGACTGGCGGGGGCAGAGGCTTGCAGAGTTTTGGAAAAGACTGGCTCCGCCTGCGCTATCGGCACAGATGGTGTTATCCGTGCCCTACTATAATCAGCTGACTGGACACTGTGGACCTCATTATACGGTAAGACTCACCTCAAGGCTGATTCAATCTATATTGAGTGCAAAGATTACTCTAGACATAGGTCGGTGGAATACAACGACAAAAAATGAAACAACCTCCTTCAAAGTTGATGTGGACACATCTGGGCGATTATCGACAATACGAAGGACCAATTTCTTGAGACTTGCGAAGCGCTCGACCGCTTGCGCGAGGTCAGTCCAACAGGGCATGTCGAACGAAAGTCGGTCACCATCAGACACGGCTTGAAAGTAGAATTCGAGTTCCTCCAGGTTGAAGGCGACACTGGGAAGCACGTCGTTGGCGAACATCCCGAGAATGAAACGATTGATTGATAAATCCACTTGATCAGCATGCACAGCGACGTTGGACTTGCAGCGGAAGCGGTGCAGGTTGGGCAGAGCCTGTACAGCGCCGCTTTGAACGTCGGAGGGATTGTGGTGCTCTGTCAACAACCGCGTCAGGGTGCTTGGTAAAGACACGGGAATATCCACTTACGGAAGCAAGTGATCCCGAAGTCGATGATGCTGGGGCCGACATTCACAAGCATCCATTGGAGTGACTGCATGTAGAGGTTTCCATCGTCTTGGAACGTCAAGGAGCGTGTTGTCGCGGACGTTAGAAGTCGAGCAAGAGAGTAGCATAGTAGCGGTACTGTGGGTACGCTATGAATCAGCTGGATGCTCAAGGCCCGGATGTCGTATGAGGGTATAGTGCGCTCGAGAGGCCCTTCTGGCACCAGTTGGTCGTCGAGGTCCGAGTCATTCGGGTACAACTTCATTGTTGGGGTCCAACGTACATCCGCACGGTCGACACGGAAGACGGCGAGCAAAGACAGCAAAGGGATCATCCCCACCGCGCAATCCAGGATGAGGAAGTCCTCAAGATGCCATCGAACTGGCGAAGGTGGTCTTGGCATCCGATCACCCTGTCGTGGAGGTTCAACGGAGAGCCTCTGTAGACGCAGATATCGAAGACTTGGGAGGCACCCGATAATGTAGAGAAGACGATCGGTCGTGATGAAGCATTGGCTACCGGTGTTCGGCCAGACACTCGGACCAAGAGTAAGCCTTTGAACATGAGGAGAGATATGGATATTGATCTCGAAGAAAGTCTTGAGAGACTTGAAGTTACTTATCCTTGTGAGAGCGTGCATCGATTGCGGAGAAGAGACGGGGACCGACGACCTGCCTCCAGCGACGGCATAGCAGAGAACGGGTTGCGAGAGCGACTGTCGAGTCGTTGAGGTAGTCGGCAATGCAAATCAAAAGCTCTGTCGGAAGGTGTTCCATGAGAGCTTGAAACGATGTCCGTAAGCACGCTGCAGCCGCACTGCCGGCGGTGCGCCGGCCAGCCTTACTCGGAGCATAAAACTTTCATCGGCGATAACGGCTTTCCCAAGCGGAGTGTGAACCTCATTGCTGGACTTGAATCCGAACGTGTATGTGACATTGTAACATCCTTGCCATAGACTATCGCCGCAACTGACAAGAATGCCGACGAAGAAAGTACAGGACCTATTCAATGGCATCCCCGCCCTCAGGTAGCCCATCGTCTTATGTCGATTATGGCCATACGTACTACACGCCCGCATCTAATCCGTTCGAGGCACGGGCATCTCACTGCATTCCGACAAGAGATACTAGTAGAGCTCAAACGAACAGAAGTCGTGAAATAGACGCGCCGACTGGTCATCAACCTCCTCAAATGCAGTAAGCGTGTCTCCACTGAGGTCGACGCCGTCGCGCACATGGTCGGCGCAATACTCAGACTGTAGGACTTCCGGCATGTGACCCTCAACGGCCTCACCGGGCTCTTCACACACTCATCCGAGCCTCCAGTGTCCGTGGCCGCCGCGCCGACACCTCCAGAAGGCGCACACACCCTCGAACGCCGCCTGCTGCAAAAATTGGGCCCAAGCATGTCATTTTCGTTAGATCTTGGGGACAGCGCCAGAGTCAACCCCCTCCGATCGCACTCTTCTCCGACATTGACGACGCGCACCTCCTTCGCTTCCCCACAAGACTACTCGCTCTCTCAAAGCCAACCTTGGTCTGCCAAGCACTCGGTTTTCTGCCTCCGGATCGAGGCTTAGGTCGCCGGATCGCCTTCTACGCGCCGTCAGTTAGCTATGTGCCTGTCCGTGGTCCGAGAGCTCCCGCTCGGAGTCTGTCTCCCCCACACATCCTTCACATCCTACCTCCCGCGTTGTCAGCCGTGTGGGCCGAACCGGAACAAGCAATGGTTCACAGCCGTGCGCCTCGTGGAGGCTTCCGAGGCGCGGTCCTCGAAGACGAGGGGGTTAGAGGTGACCGCTCTAGGTGTAGTGAGTGTAACGCTTTATGTTTTGAGCCCGGGCATAGCTGGCGTCTAGGGTCCTTCTACAGTGGGAAATGATCAACCAATATCTCCGTGGGTTTCACGATGAAGCGAAGGGAGAGAGGCGACTGGTACGTGGGGGAGGGGGAAATTTTACGTCCATGTTCGTCAAGCAACACTGCAGGAAGAATATGTACATCCGAGATCTTCTTCATAGTATTAGTTGTTCTCAAGTGGCGAAATTCACACCCGTAAAGTTTGCTGGAGACCGTCGAAAATCAAGTCTTTCTGCATCGAGGATTGATTAATGCCCCACTGACACTTCGGCGAAAATACGAAGACGTCGCTGCCTTTACAGATCACTCCAAGCGACCACATCAGTTTGATGACAAAAAAACAGGGCCCACCGTGGTTCGAACACGGGACAACACGATAAGCTGATCAGGAGTATCTAATCAAGCTGCAATCGTATACTCTACCACTGAGCTATAAGCCCTTAGAGCCACAGATATGGCGTAAACACATGACTAGCCCTTAAAGTCCCTGAATACGAAGTTGCCGCAGTTGCAGCTTGTGGCATGGCACGCACTTACAGCTGCGGCTTGCTCTTCCACTACCACCACTTGCTCCTTCCGATGCCACCCTCGAAGCGATCACGACCAGCAGACTGCAACGGTCATTCGAAATCTACTCCGGAATGTTTCATCGCTTCTGTTCCGCTGGAGATCCTGGCAGAAATGCTGTCTTACACTGTGTCTCCACGAGACGTACTTGCCGTTGCGCGCACTTGCAAATACTTCTGCGCGGCACTGGTGAACAATCCTTCGACAACATTCATTTGGCGACAAGCCCGCGCCCGTTGTTTACCCAAGCCCATACCCGATTTTCCGTCTAACTTCACAGAGGCATCGTTCGCTGCGTTCCTCTTTGACCACAAAACATGCGACGTACGTGTACTCTCACTTCCGAATCGCCTTGCTCATATGGCGCCCAGGTCTGTGGCGACCGAGTGAGGGGCATGTATCGCTCGTTCTCGCTCCGAATCGTGGTTTGTAGCAAGGTGTGATCTGATATACATCGCGCATATATGCATGGAGGTTAATCCTTGCACACGCAGCAAGCATGTCAGGGCGCATGGAAGTACGTTCCTTTGCTTCCTATATGCGCATTCTACCCCCCAGAGAGCTTATGCCCGCCTAGGGAACATCTCCTGACTCGAATCCAAGAGGATACATCTGCTACAGAATTTCTGAATTGGATGCCTCGCCTGGAGTCGGACAATGGTGCGTTTCACACACATACCACTCTGCATTCTTTCCGTGTCTTTCGCGGTTTAGTGCCAGACTCACATTGGTGCTTCCGCAGAATACCCCTTGAACGTTCGAGGGGCCCTCGTGCGCACAACAGAGTGGGGGAAGGCACAGTTGGCCATGAAGACCGCTTTCGAGCTAGGAAATGTCGCTTTTGAAGCTTATTTGCATAGTAAACAGATCTTGGCGGATGCCCTTCCAGCAAAAATCGAGGTGAGTAGCAACCGAGCACGCGTCGTCAAAGCTTCATGTATACGTCTCCATCCAGTTCTATCGAAAGATCCGGGCATGGGGCATGGAATATGAGCATTGCCGCGCCAGAGTTGTTGCCGAAAACTGGACCGTGTATTATGTTTTCCGCTCCTCTCTGTTACTTCTACTGACGCTATTATAGAGCGCAAAGCTTCGCCTCATCAATTCACGAAGATGTAAATGACGTCATTCGCACGGCGACTTTCCGCCTTCTACATGACTCAAAATGCCGTTCTCTCCAGCGCATCACCGATGAAGGTATGAGTAATAGGTCCTGTTTGGTTCTCGAGCCCAGCTAATCCCGAGAAGATCTTTCCCCGATCAGAGATATCGTCGAAACCGAAGTCGCGGTGGGCAAAGCGAAGAGTGAACAGCGCATCATTGACGTCGCTCAGCAAGTGCGTCACAATCAGATCAAGACGAAGCGTAAGAAGATCCAATCGTCTCAGCCCGAGGATCGTCCCGTCCTTCCCAGCGTCAACGAGTTCCGACGGCTGCCAATCATCAAGGTATTCGAAACCACACATCCAACTCCCTCAAGCAACGACGGTCAATCCAGCAAACCTAGCAACCCGCGTACGCTCGATGACCCATTCGTCAACGCCGTCCTCGAGGAGAACCTTGACCAGTGGCGCCAGAGTGCCCGCGCGTCACTCGCATCGGTGCTCGGTTTTCCAACATGGCGCAACTTGAGCAAGCGCAAGTTGCACCCAGTGGATCGCCTCACCGCTCGGTTCCGGTGCCGACGTTGCGATGATAGCCGTGCAACGAAAGCGACCAAACTGAAGACAGCTTCGGCCTCTTCCTCTTCATCGTCCACGACAGCACATGCGATCGGTACAACTGACGGCGGGATGGACTTCACGGAGGCATGCGGGCACACGTGCGCACATCTGAGGAAGAAGAAGAAGTTGGCGAAGGACCGCTGGAGTGCAGAACGATTTGTGGCCGATCAAAAGGTCAATGTCTGTTCTTGTTCTGTAATCCTCGCGCGTGCGTGGGGGTAAAGATCCGGTGTCGCTGATCGCGGATGATCCGCTTTTTGCAGGCCGTCGATGCGATCTCGCAGGCGTTGTCGTTGTGCAACACCGAGCCAGACAGTATCGATTCGATCAAGATCGCGCGCGAGTTCGGGGACCGTCTGCAGTGCCAGTCCTGCCACCTCGTTATGGACGTTGCTAGCGTGGTGGGTGTTCCTCCCGCCTCAGTGATCAACGTATGTATGTGAACTACGACATTCTTTCGCTGCTAGGGCCGCCACTGCAAGCGTCATGTAGACGGAAGCTTCATCCTACTTGCATTTGGTGCGACGGCGAACCCACCGCTCGAGCACGGGCTGTCGCAGCGCCTTATCAAGGACTCCGCCGCGAAAGCCGAATGCGACGAGAAGGTGTTTATCTGCCGTCACTGTGAACGCCTCAGCGCGAACGAAACGCGTCTGTTCTCGTTCAACGGGATGCGCTCGCACCTGAAAGAAAAGTACGTTTTGTCCTTCCATTCGTGTGCCACGACGTCCCCAGTCGCTGAACGACACCCCGCCCCGTCGCCGTTTGCAGACATCTTATCGCGCCAATTGCCGACGAAGACTTCTTCCGTCAGAAAGGCGCGCCCGTCGCCGACGCCGCCGCATAACGTCAACATTCCGTTAATCCCGCCCCAGAAGCCCACGCTTTTCCTGTTGCTCCGCTCGCCCAGTAAATGTCTGGACAACTGGCTGTTTGCTCTTCCGCATGTACTATCACTCGCCGTCAATGCTACCATCTTCCCTCCATGGACTCATGTGGATGGCTCACCGTCCGAATCTCACTTCACCGCGCAAATTCCGACGTGGAACAAGATCCGAGCTGGCGCAATGTTAGTGGCAGATGGCCCCCAGTTCTCCTGCTCGGCACGATCGAGAAAAACTCGCCATTGGAGCGTAATAACAGGCCCCAACACACATGCGCATATTCGAAGCAGTTGGGGACAGCGTGTCACGCGTGTCGCGGATCACGAGTCCTTCCTTGCAGGCGGACATCAGTCGATATGCCGTGCGCGCGTGGCACAAGGTGCAGACGAGTCTGGACGAGTGCGAAGCCCGTCCGCCGCGCCCGTCTCAATATAGGTCGACCCCAGTCCACGCCGAGGACGGAGCACGACGCCTGAACGGCTTCCTACCTTCCTGTCCGAAAATACCCTGTCCGTGTGCGGGCCTTTGGCGGACGTACGGCGGGCTACGGCGGGGCGCGCCGTCCACAAGCGTCCGCCGACGGCCTGATGCAGCGGTCGCGCGGGGCATCAGAACCACACCGCACATGACGACGGCTCGCCTTCCGCATGCGCGTTCTGACCTTGCGCCGCCGTGGCCGTAGGGGCCATGCTGGGCCATGCTGAACATGATCATGCTCCCTCCGTCGGACGCGGTCAGCTGTGCACGCCCGACAAGGCCCGCGCGCGGCCATCGCGCGAGCACGCGGGGTCGGGTGAGCGCATGGAACGGCAGGGCGCGACTAGGACTTGAATGACGCGGAGACAGAGCGCGACGGCGCTGGGAACCAGGCTTCGCCAGGGACGCGAACGCGACTCGGCGGCGGCGCGCGCGGGAGGGCTCGCGTGCAATCAGGCGCGGCCCGCATTCTCCCTGCGTCGTGCGACGCGCCCTCGACTCGCGCCTCGTCCCCCGCCCCCAGTTTCCAAACCCGATTCCGCCCCTGGGCACGCAGATGCAGTCGATGTCTGCTTAAATACCCCCCGCCTCCCGCCGTGGCTCCCTTGACCTCGCGCGAGCCCTCCGCTCCCCGTCCTCCTCCCCGCCCTCTCCCTCCATTCGCCGATCACAATGGTCTCCCTCAGCCTGCGCACCACCGTCGTCGCGCTCGCGTGCGTGTCCGGCACGCTCGGCGCGGCCATTCAGACGCCGCACATTGCGCTCCCCCCCGACGCGGGGAAGAACCGGGACGGCGTGAAGGCCATCTTCAATACCTGCTGGGACGCATACAAGTAAGGACGCGCCCCACGTCCTGCCCTCCCTGCATGTATGCTGACGACCACCTCGCTTCCCGCCAGGCAGTTCGCGTTCCCGCACGACGACCTCACCCCCATTTCCGAGAGCTGGACGGACGGCCGGAACGGCTGGGGCGCGTCGGTCGTCGACGCGCTCACGACGATGGTGTGCCCTCGATACGCGTCCGGGTTCTGATCGACGCGTGCGCTAACGCGGTACCCCCAGTTCGTCATGGGCGAGACTGAGCTGTTCGAGGAGGCGGTCGACTTCACGAGCAAGATCGACTTCACGATCTCGCACACGGGCGATACCGCCAGGTGCGCCGGCGCGACGCCTCCTCCGCGCGCCCCCATCGCTGATTGCGGTCGCGCGGCGTGATCCAGCGTGTTCGAGTCGACGATTCGCTATCTCGGCGCGATGCTGAGCGCGTACGAGCTCAGTGGCGAGAAGTACCCCGCGCTGATCAACCAGTCCGTCGTGCTCGCCAACAAGTTGAGCGCCGCGTGGTCGAAGGTGAGAGCATTGTGTCGTTCTTTACGTCGGTGCGCGGCGCTGATGCCTGTCATGTGACAGGGGAACGTTATCCCCTACGGCCAGGTCAACATCAACAGCACCACGCCCACCATCCAGACTGTACGTCTGCTTCCGTGCGTTTTCTCCCTCGCACCCCAACTGAGACCACCTCTATCTGCAGTCCAACATCGCGGAAGCGGGTACTGTGAGTAGCGTCCTCGCGGCACCGAGTTTGAGAAGCCTTCTGAGCGCATGCTCCGTCCACAGCTCACGCTCGAATGGTCCCGCCTTGCGTAAGTCGTCCCGTCGTCCACATGCCGTTTCCGTCTCCTGATCCGCCGGCAGCAAACACACGGGCAATGATACCTACCGAGCCCTTGCCGAGAACTCAGTGCGCCAGATGATCAGCAACGTAAGCTCATTCCCGGACACTCTTCGGTGTACGTGAACTCAGCCGTCTCCGGAATAGCCGGCGCCTATACCTGGCTTCCCGGCACAAGGGATTGACCCTTCGACTGGAAAGCCTGTGGGGGCCTACGTCGTACGTTGTGTTCTGGGTTTGGAGGCGAACATGACGCTTATCGCCACCGGCGCGCGCAGACGTGGGGCGGAGGCTCTGACAGCTACCTCGAGTACCTGATCAAGTACGCCCGCTTGACGAACACGGACGATCAGGTCTTCACCGACACCTGGGCAACCGCGGTCGACTCCTCGATCCACACCCTCCTCCGCAAGTCTACCGTCGGCGGCTGGTCGTACCTCGCCGACCGCGACGACTCTGGCACGATCCGGCACATCGGCTCCCACCTCGCGTGCTTCATGGCGGGGAACTGGATCATGGGCGGCAAGATGATGAACAACGACACGGTCGTCAACATCGGCCTCGACCTCAACGAGGGCTGCTGGAACACGTACGCGTCGACGGCGACCGGGATCGGCCCCGAGGCGTTCGGCTACTTCTCCTCTGACGGCAACTACACCGGCTCCAACCCGTCCGAGGGCGACATCGCGTTCTACGACCGCAACGGGTTCTTCATCCTTCCCGGGTCCGAGTACTACTACATGCGCCCGGAGGTGCTCGAAAGCAACTTCTACGCCTTCCGCTCGACGGGCGACCTCAAGTACTACCAGCGCGCCGTCGACGCGCTCAAGAGCTTCGGGACCTACCTCAAGACGCCGACGGTCGCGTACGCGCCGATTAACGACGTCGATGCGACGGACAGCGACTTCATCGACGACATGGAGAGCTTCTGGTTCGCGGAGGTGCTCAAGTACCTCTACCTCACGTTCGACGACCCCAACGCCATCTCGCTTGACAACTGTGAGCGTTCAGGCTCCGTCTCCGTTTGGGTCTGTGCTGACGCGACTCATGCTCGCAGTCGTGTTCAACACCGAGGCGCACCCGTACGTCGCGCCCGCCGCACAGCCGTCGTACGGCTCTGGCAAGGCACCCAAGTCGAACGAGCCCTTCAAGCTCGTCTCGGGCCCGCTCCCTGCGGTCAGCTTTGCACCCTTGGTCCCGGTCAAGGAGCCCAACTAGCCGCCCGTCGTGAAGTCCTCGCGGTTGTAGTGTACAGTGCTTCGGATGTACTTGTGTATAGTGGATCCCGCAAAACCTCAGATACCCTCGTTCCCCGAGTGTGCGATCCGTGTGTTCCTCCCTCAGTCCCGTCGTCTCCTGTCCCCCGGATGGCCATTTGCCACTGCAGACGGCCCAAGCAGTTAGCGACGTCCACGCCCACAAGACGAAGCGCGACGCTTGCCGCGCACATCGCTGGGATCATAAAGCTTGATCTCCAGCCTCCCCTCGCCTCTCATCCTCGGGTACTGCGCGCGCGTCGCACCGGGATGTGCACTACAACGATACGCCAGTGAACCTTGGTCCCAAGCGGTCGGTAGGCCACGTCTGCCCAAGTGCACGTCGAGCGCAGCAGAGACGAGAGCCGCTGCGAGTCGGCGTGCGACGGGGGAGGTATGTAGTACGCCCGCCGTGGAGGACATCGAGCGGGGGGGCCTCCAGGGCAGGCTATGCGCAGAGGTACGTCAGCCTCGGAAGCGCGGACTATGCAACACGAAAGGGACTGACGTGCGAGCAAGCGGGTACGTGGCGTTGGGATCGATCGTGGCGGCGTCGTCGTTCCAGCGCGCGAGCGCGAGGGGGCGGATCTGCACCTGGCCCAGGGGACGATGATGGGCGGTCCGGTGGCGGTCGTCCGAGGGCTGCCTTTTTGGGGCAGAGGTGGGGTTGATGCACGCGTCGTCGGTGCTGGAGAACAGCGCGAGCAGACCGATGAGGGGGTCGGGGCCTTCCTGGAATAGCATGCCTTGGGCACCACTTGCGCAGCGGGCGGCGGGCGGGGAACTGTGCGTCGTCTGGGGGTGAAGTTGAAGTGTTGGAGGCACAAGTGATTGTCCAACGAAGGGGCTGCGCTAGCCAGGCGTCCGGTAGTGATGTCGTGGATGACCTGACGACGAGTGTACTTTGCGACTTCTGGATGCTTCTCCAAAAACCCTTGGAGCCCAGAGAGTCGTGCCCATGGACCAGTGTGTTCGAGGAGGCTGAGTACTGTGGTCAACGGCATTCTCGTTAGTGTTGGTAGACTCAAGGCAAGCTGAGGGATAAGACGTACTGCGGACGCGGCTAGACTTTGTTGAAGTAGTGCTGGTAAGAGGCCACGATTGGAATTTCCGAGATCGGGAGCACGTAAGGTACGGCGGTATGGTGACGCGGATCGAAGGAAATTACTCAGGGGAGGGTTGTCGAACCTCGGTACTGCATCAAGACGGTGGGCGCACATACATACAGATGTACCATTTAATGCAGGAACGTCGATGAACGTAGCTTCTCCCTCAAACCGGTCGCCTCTCCTCCCGCGCACCCCCTTGAGATCTTGATCGCTCAGCTACTACTGTCCAAGTCCAAGTCCAAGCAGTCAGCGACGTCCGGCCTCGTTCCACAAAGCGCAACACTCACTACACATCACTGGGGTCATAGAGTCTCACCTCGAGTGCTTCCTCATCCCTCAACTTCGGAAACTGCGCCTCGAACGCCTCCACGCTCCACAGCTCCCTACTCTCCTCCACGCGCGCACGTCCCACCGGTACGCGAACGACGACGCGCCACGCGCGCCCATCCACGGCCATCGCGTCGTCGAGCGGCGCAAAGTCCGTCCGCACCCCCGACCGGTCCGTCGGCCACGCCTCCTCGATCCCGGTCAGGTGCACCTCCACCTCGCGCACCGTCCAGGGGAGCCGCGGGAAGAGCGCGGCGAGCGCGGCGAGCCGCGTGGACGTGAGCCACTGCTCGCCGTGAGACAACATGGAGCGGGGTGGGCGACGCGGGAGGTAGGTCGCGAAGGACACCAGACAGGTGCACGCGTCGAGCGGGAGCATTTCGAGGGCTGCGCGAGAGTAGTGCCTCGTCAGCTTCGCTGCGGAAGGGAGAGCCGGACCGGCTCCGATTCCCGAACGACTGACGCGCGGGCGGGTACAGGGGCACCCAAAGGTTGACCGTCGCCTGAGCTCGGTCCGCAGGCTGAGGTGCTCGAGGCCGGGTCCGTGCTGGCGCAAGAAGCGCCCGAGAACTTCTGCGTGTTTTTCGTCCCTCACCGGGCACCGCAGCGCGCGGAGGTGACCCGAGGGCAGCAGGGGGGCCAGTCGCGCGAGGGTCGCGGCGGTGTCGTTCCAACGTGCCAGCGCGAGACTCCGTATCCGTAGCATCGGGACTGGGCTTATGGCTGACCAACGCTGGCCTGGAGAGGACTCGCTGTCTGGCTGGGAGGCGAAGTCGAGGCGTGCATCGTCTATGCTGGAGAAGAGCGCGAGCAGACCGATGAGAGGGTCCACGCTGGGACAGGTAAGTCGGGAATGACATGTCTTGAGCCCGAGTTTGCGCAGAGGACGGCGGGATAAGGGTCGAGCATCGCTTGCTGGTGCTGGTGCTGGGGGCTTTGTGGATGAGAGCGTGAAGAGCTCGGGGCCGTTGAGGGCTAGATGGCGAAGCTCCAGCTTCTCCATCATGGGGACTGCGTCAACCAGACGTGCAATGGTGTCGATGTTGGTGAATGTTTTCCTGCGGAGGTTAAGGAAGTCGATGACCAGACGACGAGTGTATGTCGTGACTTCCGATGGACGCTGGTCTCGAAGATTCTGAAATGAGGGAAGGCGCTCTTGCCCGCGGACGATCAGACTTGAGTAGAGATGTGGGCGCGCTATGTACCACCATGTCTTGCATACTAAGCTGGATGATTTGAGGGTGGGTGTATCGAGACAGTCGAGGACGACATTGAATATTTCTGGGGGAAAGTCCTGAACTGAGAGTGGACGCGCTGTGATTGGCGACATTCTGGTGGAGGCTTTGAACGCCTCGAGGAGAGTTTGGGGAGAAGGGAAGCCCGAATACGTGAAGCGTCGCAGCTGTTGGAATTTGGAAAGTTTCGGGTTTCGTGCTCCGCTCGATACGGCCACGTGGCGATCCGTGCCTGTCTGAAGGTGTGTTTGTGGACTCGAGAAACATTATATCTTGCGCTCTGTACAGTTGATTTTTTGGTCTTCCTCGTTTGACGCCCCCGAGGGCAGAGCCTCAGAGTAGGCGTAAACTACGAAACTCATCAAGATCGAGGTCACTAGACGTAAAGGGAGAAAGTCTTTAACGGAACAGAAGTTCTGACCAGGTGGCCTTGATCCGCGCTCGGGGAATGCGGCGATGGGCCCAATGCCAACTCAATTTAGTTCGGCCTGCGCAGTGCCGAGATCCAGTGGACTTTCAACCCAAAACTTGGTGTGCTCATCGACATCATCCATCCAGCCCTATGTCCCAGAACCGCACGAAAATGGCCACGACATTAACCGCTCGCAAAGCTTTTCGGTGAGTTTGCATGCTAGTCAGACTGGGGAGGGAAAACCGAACAGGCGCGGTCTTCGACAACAATGTGCGCTTTGGCGACTCCGAGATCCCCAAAAGGCTGTCACTGCGTGCGTTTGTACTTAAAAAAGATATCCCCTGGTGGTGGCTAGTCTTCGCCATCATGATCCCTCGGACCAGAGACCAATCCTCGTATTCAGCGACCACAGCTCAAGACCGGGCTGAATGCGCAGGCGTGGAGAGGTGACCGCGTTGTTGGGTGGAGGCTTTCTGGGTCGAAGAGAAGACGCGGCCATCCTGGCGCGTACTAGCTCTTACGTTCGATCTCCGGTGCACGGACGGAGGATGGCAATGTTGCGCGGGTGACAGCGTAGTCAGGGAGAGCGAGGCAGAAGGCGGAGAAGGTGGCACCGGTCACACTTTCAAGGCGGGGAAAGGGCGGCGAAGCGTGCAAGAGCGTGCAGGGCTGCAATGGTCGCAGATGGTGGTCGTGCTCGGGCGAGCAAGGGCGCGCTCCCACTGCTCTGTTTCGCCGCGCGGAGCCCGAAACGTTGGATCGGAGCTGGGGAGAAGCTGGAGCCGCGCCCGCATCTCGATGCTCCTCCACCTCGTCCGACCTCGCACCTCCTCGCAGCACGATGAACTCTCGCCAGACGACGTCCACCTCCGCGTTTCGGAGCTGGACGACGGTGCGCTGACCAGCCGGTTGGGTGTTGATCCTTGTGGCGGGACCCGAGGGGCTGGTGCTGGGGCTGTCCACATGCTATGGCGTCGTCCTCGAACGCCTTGGCTATATGCATGTATGCGCTCTCAAACCCCGCGTCTGTCTGATACAAGCATTGATTCATTAGGCGAACTTTGCGCCGAGTCGACATCACGCTCACGCCTCCATGCGATGAACACCACCGTGAACGCCGGTGGCAGTGGCTCCAGCTGTCCTCTCGCTTCCTTGACGACCCAAGTTGAGTCTTCCGCACGCTGCTTCCCGTCTGTGATGACTGCCATGGCATGCAGGCCATGTGCGGCAAGCTTCGACCACGACCATGTCGGCATACCGCGCGCTCCCACGGTGTCTGGTGAAGGACGCCACTGCAATCCATGCAGCCCACGTCCTCAGGCCTCAGCGCTCAGCCTCAGCGTCGTTGCACAGGAGTTCGCACAGGCACCTACGGCCACGGCAGACGATGGCCACGAATAGCGTGCGCGCGCTAGGTGCTGATGCGCGGGGAGCACCACGCCCTAGAATCTATTTTGAGATCCTGACGACCAGCACGGCGCGCGCCTGGCGATCATCTGTCGCGCTTCATAAACCCGCGACACAACGTTTCTGCACCTCGCCTTTCCCCTCGAGGTCACCGTGGTCCTTCCTTCTTCCAGTTCACATTCTCAACGTTCTTTCAACATGGTTGCAGCAGGCCTGCTCGCTCTTTCTGCTCTCATCCCCCTCGCGCTCGGCCGGCCCAGCGCGACCCACTCCGAGCTTGTTGCTCATAATGTCCACTCTACTATCCCTCTCAGCTTCCGCTTTCACAGCCCCGCCCTGCTGGCATGTTCCGCTTCACCGTCGCTATGAAGCAGAGCAACATCACTGGCCTTCAGACCGCCCTCCTCGATGTCAGCGACCCCACGAGCGACAACTACGGACACCATCTGTCCAAAGCCGAGGTACGTCGTCATTCGTTTGCTCGTCCGCACACAGCCACAGCTTGGCCTGCAGGTTGAGGCCCATGTTACGCCTACGGCCGAGACCCTCCAGGCCGTCACCGACTGGCTCAGCAAGAACGGCGTCTCGGCCAACTCCACTTCCGCCTCTGGTGACATGCTCACCGTTGAGATGCCCATGACTCAAGCGAACACCCTCCTGAACGCCAACTTCACCACCTATGTTCACGAGCCCACGAACACGACCCTGGTCCGTACGCTCGCGTACTCCCTCCCTGCCTCCGTCTCGCCGCATGTTGCATTTGTCTACCCCACGACACAGTGAGTGATCGATGCGCGATCATCGCACTTGCGCCCCAATCTCTGATTGATGGACCTCAAGGTTCATTGCGCCCGCGGTGAACAAAGTGTCTGTCAAGGCACTCGGCAGCATGAAGCTCTCCCGCCGTCGTGAGCGCTCTCGGCGCGCGAACGTCAACGCCCAGTGTGCGCAGGTAATCAGCCCCCAATGCCTGCAGGAGATCTACAACATTCCCGCCACCGCCGCCACCGCCTCCGGCAACAGCCTCGGTGTGAGCGGCTTCGGTGGTGAGGTTGCCAACAAGGATGACCTCTCGGTATGTCACCGATCCCTGATTGCCACAGCTTTGATGAGTGATTGATCCGTCATGTTTCTCTCCCACAGGACTTCCTCAAGCAGGCTCGCCCTGACATCACTAACGGTACCTTTACCGTCCAGGCCGTTGACGGCGGCTCCGACAGCGGCCAGGGTACCACCGAAGCCGTAAGTGCCGCGACTTTCCCGGAGTTAGCGCGCGAAACTCACTCAGCCTTCGGGTTCAGAGCCTCGACATTCAGTATACCGTGGGTGTGGCAACCAACGTCCCCACGACCTTCATTACTGTTGGCAACAACAACCAGGATGGGGACCTCGGTGGCTTCCTCGACATCATCAACACCCTCCTCAAGCAGGACGACCCCCCTCTCGTCCTTACCACGTCTTTTGGCTTCGATGAGGCTGGGTTTGTGCAGGAGCCTGATCTCGCGAACACCCTGTGCAATGCCTACATGCAGCTCGGTGCCCGCGGTACCTCTGTCCTTTTCGCGTCTGGTGATGGAGGCGTCTCTGGTCCTCAGGCCAACAACGCTTGTGACGGTAGTGCCTTCTCGCCCACCTTCCCCTCTGGCTGCCCCTTGTGAGTCAACCGCTGGTTTTCTCCCCAGCTTTCTCGCTCATCGTATTGCGACAGCTTGACCTCCGTCGGCTCTACCACGGGCATCAACCCCGAGACTGCGGCCTCCTTCACCTCCGGCGGTTTCTCGAACATCTTCGCGCGCCCGAGCTACCAAGACGACGCGGTCAACGGCTACCTCACCAAGCTCGGCAAGACCAACGCCGGCCTCTTCAACAGCTCCGGCCGCGCCTTCCCCGACGTGTCTACCCAGGGTGTGCAGTTCGCGATCGAGGTCGCGGGCCAGCTCCAGGGTGTCGACGGAACCTCTGCTTCGTCCCCCACCTTCGCCTCCGTCGTCGCCCTCCTCAACGACGGGCTCCTCAACCAGGGCAAGTCCCCGCTCGGCTTCCTCAACCCGATGCTCTACTCGCAGGGCGCCGCCGCGCTGAACGACATCACCTCCGGCTCGAACCCCGGCTGCGGCACCCAGGGCTTCCCCGCCGTCGAGGGCTGGGACGCGGTATGTGTCCCCTTCTCCCCCGCCTCCCCCGTCCTGTTATAGGGCGAGCGACGCGTGACGCGTAACTGTAACTGACCAACCCCTTCGCGCTGCGCAGGTTACCGGCCTTGGCACGCCCGACTTCCAGAAGCTCCTCACCCTCGTCACGGGCAGCTCGTCGTCGAGCGGCAGCAACTCGACCGGCACGGGCAGCTCATCGTCGAGCGGGAGCAACTCGACCAGCACGGACAACTCGGCGTCCTCGGGTACGAGCGCCGCCAACAGCACCGCTGCTGCGACCGACTCCGCCGCCGCGACCGACTCCGCTGCCGCGACCGATTCCGCTGCCGCGACCGATTCCGCTGCTGCGACCGACACTGCCGCTGCGACTGACGGCGCCGCGACAGTGACCGCGACGGTGACGGTGACGGTGACCGCCTCCGACTCGACTGCGACCAAGGGTGCTGGCAAGAAGGGCGCCGGCAAGAAGGGTGGCGCGAAGCAGGCCAAGACGCAGCAATGAGCGTGCGGAGTGGAAAAAACTAGGTTGTTTCGTTGCTGTCGACGTGTTGAGCTTTCGCATTCTCGGAGTTCCGGACTGAGCGCTAGCGGCAGTGTATTGTAACCTGTGTCGTTGACTACTGCTGAACTGGATACCACCGGTGACCTCTTTTGTTACCCCCTCTATCCCCCGGCCGCGTGCGCGGCCGGGGCGGTGTGTTCTGTGCGCGAGCCGTTGTGTGGTCTCACCCGGTGCGTAGGCATGCATCGCCTTCCCTATTGAATTGTGTACTGCTACAATGGACCGCAGGTCGCCGATGGAGATGGCCCGCAGGAATGTGTTCGATGGCCTGCGGGCCGCAGGGGTTTCCGTCCGCACACCTGATGGAGCGGGGGCCAATTGCGGTGGGCGTCGTGAGCGTGAGCTGGAAGGTGCGTCTTCCATCGCGATCGTGTAGGATGAGCACCGGATCTAGTCATCCTAGGCTGACGTGCACCGGTAGAGCGCGTGTGGTGGCCAATCGTGCGCCGTCCCGTCTGCTTGTGGTCCGCCAGTCTCACCCTGCTCTCGGCGCCTCGCTGCAGCGGAGGACGGGCAGTGACCTGATGTTGATTCAGGAGGTCGCACAACACTTGCACCGAG